AGTGGAGGATATTTGTGCCTGTGGAAGTCTGTGGGACTCTCCCCAGCCTCAGGCTCAGGTTGAAGATGGGCTCCATCACCCCACACATTTGGTCTGCGCAGGACCTGACGACCCTTGAGCTGATGCCATCTGGACCCGCTGCCTTCTTGACTCCAATTCTTGACTGCAACTGCATTTCATTGTATTTTTATTTTTTTTACAGTGACAATAAAGAACCTAAAATCTTGAATGGCAAAAGCCAAAATCAAGAGAAAAAGAAAAGACAAACTCAAAGGCACAGAGTAATTCAACAGATAGATGGCTGCATTATGGAAGCAGTTAGAGTCGGAAAAACGACATCCAAATGTAGAAAATCAAGATAACCACATTAGTGAAGGAGAACTCAAAGCAAGACCGATGACCAACTACAAAAGGAAAACAGGAAATGGCCCAAAAGATAATAAGCACAAAGTCATGACACACTGTTCATAGTACAAAAGTAATACTCTGGAAACAAAAAACAAGTAACTCCACAAACAAAATCTTAACTACAGCATTAGCAACAATAAATGTTTCAGATACTAGAATGTAAGCAGGATCAAACTAAGAAAAAATACAATTAAAACAAAAAGAAAAACAGCGACTGTAAAGTTTACATTGTTGGGTTGTCATTTATGCTTAGAAATACATATTCATATATTCTTAGAAATTAATAATCATTTAGAAATATATAGTTGATTGCATATTGAAAGAATGTCTCATCCTAGGGGGTCTGTAACAACTCTGAGTAGCGTGAAGAGGGGAGTGTGTTCACTCCTCTACAGAGTGTTCTGGCATACATCACACACCTCCTAGGGACATGAGAGAGGTCGTATCTTCTCTCATCGATATATGGTATAGCAAACACATGTATATCTGTTTGAGTGTAAGAGCCTAATAATTTTTAAAAATATTTCTTCACTCACGGGCCGTAAGTAGGGGTGACATGGGCCGCGAGATAGAGAGACAGGCATTAGAGCCTCTTATTGTGTGTTTTGTTTGGGTTCCCACCGGCGTGGAATTACCAAAAATAGAGAG